TATAATTTGGATATGTTAGAAAGGAAATGTAATAGTTGGAAGGCGAAATTGCTAAATTTATATTAAGTTTAGATAACAAAATGGAATGAAAATGAGTTGGAAGGAGAAGAGAGGGATCATGGGGAGGAGGGGAATGGTTGAGGAGTTTGTGTAAAACACTCCTATAGTATTTCAAATTTGTAAGTTTGGTTCTAGTATTTTTATTTGGTAAGTTTTTGACTTGTTGCCCACTGCGACCATTCCTCGACATACGTTGGTCACATCCAGGATAAATATAGTTGATTATGCTATATTTATTCTCGATTTGATTACATACCCCGAGGCCTAGTCGTAGTGTCGCAACTTGCCTTAATACTTTTTATAAAACTTTGCTATGATACTATACCTTTGCATGCGTGTACTTATACTTTATATATATATATATATATATATATATATATATATATATATATATATATATATGTATATATATATATGTATATATATATATATCATTTTTAATTTATTAAAAATAAAAAAAAAAGAACGTTTTGTCAGAGGGTTTTTGGTCCCTTTGCATTTATAGTTTGTATATCTTATGTGGTTCGATATACTTAATTCACTATAAACAATGCTCTGATACCAATCTGTCACACCCCCAAACCAGAATAGCGGAAACATTCGAGGGTGGATGACTTCACGTAGTATCATAACAATTGAATATTGTAAAGAAAGTAAACACAATCATCATATATATAACAAAAATTACATTGTTTGTGTGTAATACATGTTTCAAAAGAATATTACAAATATGATGATTTAAAATGTTTTGATAATAGACGCCTTTGCGTTCATTCTCCAAAAGCTGATGGTTACCTGTATTACTGATTCCCTAAAAAATATAAGTAGTTTTGAAAAAGTGTCAACAATTAAGTTGGTGAGTTCATAAGTGTTTTTGTACTAAAATTTGTATGTATTTTAGTAAAAATAAATGAATATGTTTTCCAAAAAATCCAATATTTCCTTTCCATAGCTTGAAAAAGTTCCAAAGGCTAGAGTGTAATAGTATCTTTCGTGCTCAAATGATGAAAGTGAATTGATACTCAAAATATGTATTTACTGAATGCATTCAAGAGTCTCATAAATCAAACTTATTTAATACTTCCGTGTGAGTTTTATAACCATGTTATTGACCCAGACTGCCTGTAACAACGTTCTTCAAGCGTTGCAGTGTTATGATGTTTGTCACCCCAGACTTGACGGTCTAACTGTGGCTAACAGTTTAGGTGCGGGATTGTCAATTTCGTATAGATCTATACACAAATATCATGCTCTCCCTCCAAGATATTATGGTTTATAATATAGGTCTTGAAATGCGTACTTGAGAGTACGTTGAAGTTGAATATCTCATAACACTTGGTATCAATATATTTATAAAAGAAAAGTCTATATTTCATGTAGATGGAAGTATTTCATTTTTACAATGTTTATGTAAAGATGTAATGAATAACTTGTAAACTATACCCATTATAGTTTTTCCGAAAATGTGTACCATTGATAAAAACTCGATGTAATACTAACTTTGTATATAGTTTATACGTAGATATCGAAGTTGTTTAATTTTTATAAAATGTAGGTGGTGTATTTGAATTTGTATAAAACGATGAGTTTTTCTCGTATTACACTTGTATTCCCCCCCCCCCCCCCTAAAATATGAAAAGACGTGAAAAGAAAGTGGGGGTATGAACTCACTTGTTTGGTTTGAAGATAATGAGACGAGAATCTAGTAGAACTTCGACTGCGGAAAGCTGCATCTTCAGGTTTCTCGGGGATCTCGGTAGCGTGAAACTTCCGTCGGGGCTCGAGTATGGAATCGAGGGTGTCGGGATAGCTTCTGGAGCTCGAGAGAGTGTGAAAGTGAGAGAGGAGTTTGAGAATGTGTGCCAAAAACCCAGAGCTCATGGACTCTATTTATAGTGCTGGAGCACCCCCGGACGTTAGGCGTACTCCTTGGGTATCCTGGGTGTGCTCAGGAGTCGTCAGTGCTTACGACTCAAGCCTAGCTAGCCTGCTAGCTGATGGAACGAGACTCTGCGCCTAAGTACGTTGGGCGTAACCCAATTTACGCTGGGCGTAAATTGGATTTCCAACTTCTAAATTTCGTAACTTTTGCGTACGTTCTTTATATCCACGCGTATGTGAGACTGTACTCTACAACTTTCATTTAGACTCTGTCGGCTAGTTTTGACTTTATTTTTAATAGTATATTTTTAGTAGGTCGAAACTGCTAAAGTCCGTTAAAAATCCATAACTTCTCTATCCGATGTACGTTTTCGTCCGTCTTTTTATCGTTTCGATGCTCTTGCCGAGATCTTCAACTTTCATTTAAATTGCGTCGGCTAAAAATGGCTCAATCTCTACTTCAAGTTTTTAGTTATCTACTACTATCGTAAAACTTCTAAAAATCATAATTTCCTCATATGAAGTCAGATTTGATAGTTCTTTTTATGCATAATTACAGCTTAAAGATATCTACGACTTTTATTTAGAGGCCTAAGGCTAAAAAGTATTTTATTGAAGTTTCACTTTTTTTACGCTTATCAGTGTTTTACCGGGTGTGTCGTGGATTTTCGATTGATCATAACTTCTTCATACGAAGTCAGATTTGGACGTTCTTTATATTTTTGGAAACCTTGGCATGATATCTAACACTTTATGCATCCCAATTTAGATTCTAGAACACTTCATTTTTGACATTGATTCTAAATATTTTGGTATATTTGACTTTTTGAATGTTACATTGGTTTGAAAAATATCAGGTTGCCACATATTCTTTTTGGACACAACATATATCGTTTCAAAGCTCTAACAGATGAGAACATAACCCACTGAGGATTAGAAACATATACAATATATATTTATATTTAAATGTGTTCAAAGTTTTAATAAAAATATATATTTTTATGTAATTTCCAACAACCCTCTACATGAATGGAGATCGATCTCTGCACATAAAGTTTCAGTACAAAATTTCCAACAGATGAATCTTGCATAGGATAGGTAGGTGTTGCCCTTTGAACCCTCCATTGAGAACTATACTTAGGTGTTGTTTGTTTTTCTAAAGTCAAAATGTCTGCAGTCTGCGGACTACATCTGCAAGCCTATGCAGCAGAAGAGGTGGACCAAACGTCTGCAGTCTGCAATATGAAGACTATTTGTTTTTTAACGTTTGCATGCTTCTAAAATAAGCTGAATTTTAAATAAAATGATTTTACAAACTTAAAATGATATTTCAGCACCAAAATTTTAATAATAATAGTCTTACAACACTGAAAATAAATTTCATGCAACTAAATTAGTCATACAATATAAAAATTTGGTTTTACAATAACAATTTCATTTAAAACAATTCAATCTATATTGTGCATCAACTGCTTAACAATTTCATCCCGTAATTGAGTCATATATTCACGGCCTGCTGCAGTACAATGTGTTGGAGTCTCGTCTTCATCATCATCAACGACCATATTGTTATTTCAAAATGAGACAGTGGGTTTATTGTATCGTGCGAAATACTCATCACTCAATACTTCTCTCCTTATAAAATTATGAAGCGTGAAATATGCCATGGTAATGTTTCTTTGTGTAACAAATGGGAATGGTGTCATCCTCTTCAATATAGGGAAGTGTGCTTTCAAAACACCAAAAGCACGCTCAATGACATTCCGTAGTTTTGCATGTCCATGGTTAATTTTTTTTTTATTGATCAATGGACGTCTTTGATGAAAATCTTCAAGCCAATACCTCACATTACGATAAAGGGCCATAAATCCTCGAGTGTGTGCATACGCGACATCACAAAGATAATATTTGTTTGTAAAAAATGTAAAACACTGATCACTTTTCAAACTAAAATAAAAATATTTAAAGAAAATAAAAACTTACTTGGTGGCTGAAACGGGAATGATGCTTGTGGATTGACTACCGCTTCTGATAATATTTTAAAGTCATGCGCTATCTCTTCCCACCCGGCCACAACAAATGTAAAACTCATACTGAAGTCACAAATTGACAATACATTTTGGTAGCAATCTCCCTTTCCCCTACTTCCATATAAGTATTGTTTCTTAGCAGGGACAACAACATGTATCAAAGTGTCATCAAGTGCACCAACCGCCCCCTTTGAAAACTTATCGTAGCCTCCTATTATGTCCTGTAATGTTTGGATTCAGATTAAAAGAAGTTGGTACTATAACATCTTGTGCGAAAAGCATCATTTTTTTCCAACACTTCATAAAAAAATTTATGAATTGTTTGCTTCGAGTGTTGAAATCTCCGCTTGATAATCATGTAACGTTGATTATGGCCGATCATCATAAAAAATATAGCCATCTTTTCCTCAAATGATACATGTTTGTTGTCCTTTAATGAGTAATTTGCTCTAAAATGAGCACATATCCGTACAAAAGAGTCATCGGACATGTGTAGTACTTCAACACATTGTAAACGATTACGATACGGTAACTCTAATGTGCATTCATGTCCCGTCATTTCCAAATCATTATCCCGCAATCGTTTCACACCTCCTCTTCCAAAAATAATGGATATATAGGTACATAAGAATTAGGAGAAGAATCTTTTGATCGTGATCCATTATGAACCTAAAATCAACAAAGTAGAACTTTAAAAAACATTACATTAATCATATTTCAAATTTTAAAAAAACATTACATAAACCATATTTCAACTAACAAACTAACACTACATTAATCATGTTTCAAGTAGCAAAAATACATTACATAAACCATATTTCAAGTAGCAAAATAACACTACATTAATCATATTTCAAGTAGCAAAAAAACATTACATAAACCATATTTCAAGTAGCAAAATAACACTACAGTAACCATATTCCAAGTAGCAAAATAACAAAAAATAGTTCCAACAAAGGTAAAAAGACCTAACAAAATAGTTCCAACAAAAGCAAAAAGACGTAACAAATAGTTTCAACACAAGAAAAATCATCTGACAATCTTTCCGTCCTTCAAAACTCCTAAACTTGTACCCGTCATCTCAAAACATCCTGGTAATATCTCGGGAACATCAGACAAATGCATCCACGTCTCTTTCAAGTTTATGGTCCCTCCAAAAATATGATATGCAACAAAGCTTAAAGGATCTGTAGGGCCTAACTGAAGCACCTCTAACTTCTCTAGACATTGAGGAATTGCATACCCTTTAGTCAAACTTTATAGAGCCTTTTCATTTCAAATGCTAAATTGTTATCAGTAATAGAAGTTCCATCAGGTGAAGAAGCAAACGGTGAGGCACTTGGAGCTATATGAGTTAAGGGTTTGCCCTTTTGTTGGGGTTACCGGATGGTGAAGCAATATATGGTGAAGCAGTAGAAGGTGGTGGCTCACTAGCATGATGGGAAATGCCATCACCATCATCATTTATTGCAAGAAAATGGGTGGCGGTAATCTGAAGTGGTGGAACACGACAAGAGGATGCTCCAGCTACTGATGATGATTGGGTTGAGTAACTCCTAAAATTACTAGTGGCACTATTTCCATCAAAAAGACGTGCACAAAGATTTGGGAAATTCAGTGTGATTGTTCTTAATGAAGCAGCCTTCGGATGCCCCTAAACCCAGATGTAACAAAAAATAATATAAGAATTTTTGGCAACTTCAAACGTAAATGTTATATATATATACCTTCTTTAAATCATCCCACTCCTCGGCTGTTAAGTTAAAAGTGTTTGTTTGAGAATTGTATATGCTAGTTTTGTTTTTTAAATATACCTATCCTGTGTATTTGCCTTTCAGTTGTCATATGCATTTTTCATTTGTTTTTTTACTCAAATCAATGCCAAATTTTTTCTTAAGAACTCTTTCAAGCCTTATCCATGAGTATTTCTGCAAACTCAATCATTTGCTACCAACACTCTCTACTTCTTCAATACAAGTATCCAATAAGCATTTTAAATGCTCATTGGTCCATTGTTGTTTTTCTCCCATTTCTTATAACCAATATATCACAGACAAATAAGATTTCATAAGGTAATGTAGCATTCACAAATGTGGTTTCATAAGGTATTACATATCATACACATGCAAAAAAAAAAAAAATCAACAACTAACATCATTATTTCATATTTCCAAAACCAAATAACGATTTTCAGCACATTCAATTTTAAGCACATTCAACAACAATTTGAGACAAAAAAGAGTATTTTCAACAAGAATCACAACATTCACATCATTATTTCGTAATGCTAAAACCAGGTAACAATTTTTAGCACATTCAACAATAAAGAGTAATTTCAGCAACAATCAAAACATTGACAACATTATTTCATATTTTCAGTACAAATTTCCATATTTTAATCAAGAAAAAAGCTTGATTTCATTGACATTATATATTTTCAGCAACATTCAACAAGAAAGTTAAGCAAGAAAGGAAATTTTCGTTGAATTTGTAACATCTAACATCAAATTTAAGAACAAAAAAATCATTTTCAGCAAAAGGAATCAATAAATTTGACTAGATTATAGAATTTTGTACCAATACTAAACACTAATTTCATGTGAGATTTGAAAAAAAAAAACATAAGCATACCTGCGACAGCTAGGAGGTCCGACGCCGACAGCAAGAAGTGGCGCAACGCTGAACACCGGCGGTGGAAGGCGGCGTTATGGTCGGCGTTCTGGTTAGCGGAGATCGTTGGTGGAGTGAGGCAGGGAGATCGGTGGTGGAGTGAGGGTTGAGGCGTCGATGGTGAAGATGGGTAGATTTAGTTCAAGTCTTCAAAGGAATAGCAAAGTAGCGGCGTTTTTTTTTTTTTTTTTTTTTTTTTTTTTTTTTTTTTTTTAAGTTAAAAGCCCGCAGATGTGAGAAGTGGGTATTCAATGTATGTATGGTGAAGACCTCGTGCAAACGTTTTTACATCTTATCCCTTCGAAAAAGTAAACACTCTGCGAGGATAAAAGTATGTGCGTTGTCAGCGGGGCGCAGACAAAAGTGGTACTGAAGAGCTTTTAAAAAAAACAAACGCCTCCTTAGTCTTCTAGCTGTCAAAAGACACAATGTTCTTAAATTGGGCTGCCATGTAGACAACAATATAGTTCAAACAAGACTCTTATTGGTCCCGAAATACGAACACTCATGTATGAATCTGAATATAAACGCAGAATAACAACACAAGTATTCGACTAGTAAAAACCAATTTTATTTTTCGGGTTTTTCCTTTAAGCACAATGATTCAAAAATAACAAATACTTTGAATCCTCTCCAATAACTCACAAAGAACTCTCAGATCTCTCTACAAACACTCTTTATCACACAAAACACAATACAAATCATCAACTCTCAACTTATAAGAGTGTCAAATATAAAGACTAGTTTAACCTAACAAATCACCAACTCTCAACTTTTAGGGATTGAATCTTCTAATATAAATGCATATCTGGTATCACATAAGATCTTTAGAATACTTCTTTACCAAGTAATTATGATCTACTCGAGTTTCGGGCATCATCACCAGTACGTTATTTGTTGATCAGCGCATCAACATTAGGGAATCACCCGCTAATTAAGTTTAGCTTCAACTTTTGCAGATAATATATTACCAAAGTATCCCCAAAAAGTAATGCGATTAATAGGGAGCCGCCACCTGTCCCACAAAAACAAAAACAAAATCACACACTTCAGCTAGTTATGACGCATCAAACATAGCCTTAATCATTAAGGCAGTATTTGTTTTTTGTCTGCAGATCTGCATAGCCTCTTCTGTCTGCGCTGCGCAGACCACGTGTAGACATTAACCTTCGTAGACTGTTTGTTTCTTTGAAGACTGCAGACCTAAAAATGTCTGCGCGCCCTCTTCTTGGCGCAGATGTGGACCAGAGTCTTCTAACATCTGCAGTCATCTTGTAGCCTAAAAAACATATATATCTTTATTTTTTTAAAGTTTTTTTTTTCTTTTTTTAATTTATATTTTTTCCAACTTTATTAATGATAAACAATTTGAAAAAAAATACAAAACTTAAAAAAAAAAAAAAACGTTCGACGATACAAACATGATATTTTTGACAAATTTGTAAATAAATATTTATTACAATAATAGTCGTTGAAGTTGTTTATTTAAATATGAAAAAATCATAACATAATCTTATATTTTTCTGCCACATTTTGTAAAATATTATTTAATACAATATCGTCAATTTCTCTCGAAAATATTTATGGTACGTTTTTAATGGATTTAATTGAAAAAAAAATTGAAGTTTATTTCTGTCCATTTATGTATCAAATTCTTTGATCACTAATTATAATGTTTAGTTATAACTTTGCAACCAAAGTTGTTGGTTTTTATCAAATATATACATTAATTCATACTATTTTTATTTTTATTTTTATTTTTATACAATAATACATAAAAGTTGATTTAGATTCGTTAATTATTTATAAAAGGTCATAAAATATTAAAAATTCACTTTTAAATAAAAAAAACCAGTTTATTTATATTTCAATTTGTTTTAGTAGCTCGCAGATATTAAAAAACAAACAATCTTCTTTTTTCAGACTGCATACGTTTGGTCTACCTCTTCTACTGCAGAGGTCTACAGATGTAGTCCGCAGACTGCAGATATTTTGTATAAGAAAAAACAAACAACACCTAAGACTTTAAATACTATTAGTTATTTATTTATTTTTTAAAAATGACAAAAAAATTATTGTGTAATATTTCAATTGGAACGGTGGTTATGGTGTATCGGTGACTAACTAGATACTAATATAAGTTATAAAAGAGTTAGATAAAATGATAAGAATATTAAAAATAAGGACCTAATATGAACAAAATTAAAATATTATTACCCATTTTTAAACGGTTATAACAATTATGTTGATGTAATATGTAAAAAAAAAAACATTACAGACATAATGCGGACAAAATTAAAATCTTATTAATTTTTTTAAACGATTATAACTACCATATTTATAAATAAATAAATAAATAAATAAAACACTTAAGATTATTACTATAAAAATAAAAGACTTAAGATTATTACTATAACAAATAAATCTATTCTTAATAAAAGAGTATTTTAAACGGACACGTGTCCTCTTTTAAGTAATGTCTTTGCCACGTGTAATTTTTCTACACCCTCGCTTTTGTGTTTTCCCGCTCAAACATATCTTTAGAATCGGCTTCTTATTTTGTATTTCCTATCAATCCCATAAAATTAGCAATCGAGATGAACTTAATCACTAAAATCACGGCAAATTACTAGAGATAAGCGTATATGAATCAACTCCTTCACTTGATTGTTGATTCAAAGTTTGAAAACCCTAAAAATATACCCACTATTTTCATGAAATCTTCCTATGATTTTCGCATGTTTCGTATCTATGGAAGCTTCTCTGTCTCACACACCGTATCTTCTTGCTTCACTCCGAAAACTAGAAAACCCTGGACACTGGTTTTTGCTTCATCATCTCGCAATTGGTATGTAGTTTTTGTGCCTTTTTATGTTGGCATCTTTATTCTCGAAACATTGGGTTAAGCATTTTTACTTGCTGATAAAGTGAGACCATTTTGTTTATTGTAGTGTTTTTATGATCGAAATTGCAAAGAGCATAACAGGTTTTAAGCTTCTACCATTTTTATTAATTTATTATGTTTTGATTTTGTGTATTTTAGCCCTAATAGTTCTGATTTGTTCTTTATACTGCATTTTTTATATTCTTTAGCTATGGAAGTCTTCCGATAGACATGGAATTATACTGTTCATTGAAGCCAATGGAATATTCAAGAAATCAGATAATCTTTTGTTCCATAAATTGCTAAATCAGATAAAGTACTCATGTTTATATTCAAGAAAAATGTAGCATTGAAACTGCAACATGAAGTTCAAGATGATTAATTTTGACTTAAGGAGTATTTTGTACTTATACTTCAAATTTTGATGAAGGATAGTGGTGTCTATGGAGATTGCAGAGTATAAAATTAATGAAGGGGATGTCGAATTTGTTATTAGTAGTAGCTTATACAGGAGCAGAATGGGGCATCGCAGGTGAGCTATATTGTATCTTAATAAATTAAGATTTTTTTTGCCAAATGTCATCTTTTCCTTTATTTGGACCATTTTCCCCCTATGTGATGATGGTTATCTCTCAAATATAATGTTTTCTATACATTTGTAGGTTTAAATTTGACAAGAGATATAGAAATTCGAGTGAGAAATGTACCTTTTGTGTTGTTTTCATTGAAAAATGTCAAAAAAAAACTTGCAATTATGTGTTTTGTTCAATATTTAGTATTAAAATGATGTTAGAACATTTAAAATGTCATATTTGCCTATATATATATTTTTAGTATCTTTTAATATTTATAATCAGTTTATCTGTTTTGAAATCATTAAAATTATATTTGAAAATTTTAATTGACCATATTGCCCTTAGCCTCTCAACTACAGGAATTAAATGGTTATGCCCAAATGCTAAGTTAATAATTTATTTACTTATAGGTTTGTGAAGAACCTTGGCTGCCATCATATATGAAGTGATGTTGAGTTTTATTATCACTAACAGTATGATATATTTCCTCAAAGAGCAACACAAATATCAATACATTTAAATTACATTAGAAATTTTTTCTGTTTTGATTATATGTTCTTAGTTCAAACATAATTGTGAATTGAATGATGTTTTTTTAGAGATAAAAAGAATGATAACAATGGGATTTGAAGGATCAGTCAACAAAATCGATGTTGGTGGAGTGATTATAGATGGCAAAATCTTATCAAACCCAAGACACACCTACATTACCAGGTGAAGGATTCATCGCTCGTGAAATTGTCTAACACCATCTACAAGATATCCTTCCCCTAATAAAAGAAGCTTTAGTTCACAAATAATGTTTAATAAACAAAGAAAAACCAGCTGATTGGAACAAGAAAATGTCGAGAAGGCTATAAAAAAAAATTGAGGTTAAGAAGAGTTCATTGCAGCAGGTAAGGGCATAAGAGTAATTTAGTTCCTGCACTTTAGAAGGTAAGGGCAAAATGGTTCATTTACTTATTCTTTTAATTTTAATGATTCCAAAACAGAAAAACTAATTATAAAATATTATAAAAAATACCAAAAAAAGATATTTGGGCAAATATGAAATTTAAATGATTAAAAAGGGTAAATATGATTTTAATGTTTTAAGTTGGGTAAATATTATATTTTGACGACTAATGGAAAGCAATGTAGGAAAAACAGGGGAATTAGGAACAATTTAATATCTTTTCTTAATGTACTGTAATCATGAGAGTTGGGAACAACTTAAAATCATTTCAAAAATCATTTCAATCCAAAATGACCATTCTAACCCTACACCCAAAATCCAAAAAATAAAATAAATAAATAAACCACTAATATATATATATATATATATATATATATATATATATATATATATATATATATATATATATATATATATATAATTTTCATTTTCGTTTCTATTTTTAAACATGACATGTTTTGTAAAAAGGAATATATTTTGTTATTTTACTGTGTGTGAGTGTGTAGGCCTTCCTTTCAAGGTGTAGATGATGGTTATGAGTTTGAATAGTATCCACCTAAGTTCTAATTGTTTTTTTACATTTTCAAAACCATGATTTTTTTGCCACTTTAAGTATTAAGGACTATAGAGATAACATATTGTTATTTACCAAATATTTAGTTTCTAAGTTTGTATATTAACTATGTCATGAAATGATTCTTTGTTTTTTTACTGAACCTTTTTAACTATTGTTGCATCACTTTTCAACTATTGTACTTGGTTCCACAATTACCAAATTAGGATGGAGATGTAGTCTGAGAAGAGGATGTATCAATTCCTAAGAAGAAATTTTAGCTACTAAATTAGTTGATTTAAATTATAAAATAAGTTGTTGGGAGTCCAACAATAAAAATACGGCTTAACATCATCTGTGTTACTACTGTTATATTACAAACACATGTTATTATACTAATTTTTTAATTAAGTTTCATAACTTACTACTAAAATTTAAAAATTTGAACTAAAATTAGCATTATTATATTTTTATTATGTTTATTAAGGATTCATATATCAAGACAAATGAATAATATTTGCCTTGTCAAAACATCTATATTTATAATTATTTTTTATTATTGATCAATAATCACATTATAATTTAATTAAAATTATTTTTACATTTCTAATCCGTAGTGTCCACGGGTTATAACCTAGTAAATAAATAAATAAATAAAACACTTAAGATTCTTACTATAATTAACCCTGGTCTTATTTAACATGGCTATTTTAGTGAAGTCTCGTCATATAAATTTCTTATCTATTAACCGTTTCATAACATATGAATCTGACGAGCGAAAAGAAGCCACGAAGACCATGACTCAGCAAAAGCTGGTTGCAGGCTTGCAAGCTACCACTATCACTCTCCCTTCCTCCTTCCTCTTCCTACATCCTCTCCCCGCCATTTCTTTCTCCGAAGAAATCCACCAAACACAAGAAACAAAAATGGAAAATCAAAAACCTAACAGATTTTCTTCATTCGAATCATACGCCAGCTCCGATTCGCGCTCCAATGAACAACCATCAGATCCCGGCAAGAAATCGCATTTTCAGGTGGTGATTCAAAGGATCCAAGGAACAGGATGACCAACATTCTGATTTTCACCATCTTCATTGCGATAATATTGGGGATAAAATCACCGGCGCCTTTAACTTACCTGGCCACCGCCCAACAGTACCCTGATCCCGAAACCATAAAGAAAAATCCCGCCAAATTAGACGAAGCCACCAAATTAATCTATACTCGATTCAATTCTATATCCTCACTTTTCCATGAGGATGCCATGGATGATCTTGGCTTCTGCATGAAAAACATGTAAGTTTTAGGGTTTTTTCTCCACCCGTTTTCCTAAATTCATTATCTTGCCATTAATCTTACTTCAATTCAAGTAAACATTCGTAAATAACCATTGCTTAATTCGTCTACATTTCTCTTAAACTTTCCTTCTTTCCTAATGCAAATCCAAACTAAAACCTACATAACAAATAGCAATCCAGTTGTGTTTATCTTAATGGATTCAGCCTCTGTATTATCAATTTTACTAAAAGCACTCCAGTTTAACACTCCTTATCATTTCATCATCAATTTCCAGAACTGCTGAATGGAACGAAGCTTTTGATTTCTCGGGTGATACAAAATTCTTGTCTAATTGCATCCAAAAAACCAACGGTAAAAACTAAAATCAATTACTACTCTGTAGTTGACGTTGAATAATTCATATATGAATTTATAGGCAATATCCTTCAGCGACTATGCACTGCAGCAGATATAAAATTCTATGTAACTGTTCTCTCAGAAGCTGAGAAACAAGGATTTAAGATAACTAATTACATAAAAGGTAACAAGAACTGTAATCTTAAATCTTGGGTTTCTGGATGTGAACCTGGTTGGGCTTGTTCTGTTGAAAAAGACACTGAAGTTGATCTAAAAAACAAAGATGAAATCCCTTTTAGAACTTCTGATTGTCAACCTTGTTGTGAAGGCTTCTTCTGCCCCACTGGCCTCACCTGTATGATCCGTAAGTTTCTTCATCATCTTTTTATTATCATAAACAAAAAGCTACCAGCTACCAGTTTTTTCTGAAGATTGACATGTCTTTTGTTTTTGTAATTGAAGCTTGTCCTTCCGGATCATATTGTCCTCTGGCTCGGCTTAATCCGAAGACTAATATGTGTGATCCGTAAGTTGAATTTCCGTTTTTACCCTTTGTTAAACTTAAACAATTTACATTCCTAAAAAAAAAATTTACAAAATGTAGATATCGATACCAACCACCACCAGGGGCCACTAACCATAGTTGTGGTGGGGCAGATGTCTGGGCAGCTGTTGTAAATAGCCGTGAGGTTTTTTGTCCAGCTGGCTTCTTCTGCCCGAGTTCTATTGAGAAATATTCTTGCCAATCTGGGTATATATTATTAATTTATTATTTATTATTTATTATTATTATTATAAAAAAAGTTGCATAATTATTTACTTGATGGTTGTTTATTTTATGTCAGACATTACTGCAGACTTGGATCAACATCTCAAACAGGTAAAATTTTCTCCTTTTAGTTTTTGCCACATTTGTTAAAAAGGCAAATAGTTTTTGTTAATTGTGGTAAAAGTGACTAAACTAAAGGGTTAAAATTGAAATTTTTTTTTACAAATTTGATAAAATAGACAAAAAGTTGCAAATGTAAGGGTTTTTATGTTATTATCGGTTGTTAAAAATCTGGATTACTTAAATGTGGAAGGATTTTGCAGAGTGTTTACAATTGGCTAGATGTAATAAAGAGGCTTCAAATCAGAATATTACTGCATATGGCTTAATAACTTGTGTAAGTGCGTATCTTACTCGATCATATGGATAAAGTGTTGTAGTAATGAAATGACCATTTTACCCATATTCATTTATGGAATGGCAGGGAGGATTGACACTTGTGCTGTTGATATTTTACAACTGCACGGGTCAAGTAATATCCACGAGAGAAAAACGAAAAGAAAAATCAAGAGAAGCAGCTGCACAAAGTGCAAAAGAATTAGCACAAGAAAGATGGAAAGCTGCAAAAGAAAACGCAAAAAGAAAAGCAGTTGGAATACAAACATCATTATCACGAACATTTTCACGAAGAAAACCCCCAATTTCAGACGCGTCAAAAGATCCGATTCCTTCGTCTAGAGATGAAAACGAAGATCAAAACAATCTCACAATGATGATTCATGATCTTGAAGATGATCCTGAAAGCCACGATGGATTTAACGTTGAAATTGGAGATAAACATTTGAAGGGATCGAAACCTAAAAAGCTACACACTCGAAGTCAAATATTCCAATATGCGTATGGGGAAATTGAAAAGGAAAAAGCAATGGAACAACAGAATGGGGATTTGACGTTTTCGGGGGTTATTTCTATGGCGACTGATACGACTATGAGGATTAGACCTAGAATGGAGGTTTCTTTTAAGGATTTGACTTTGACTTTGAAGGGGAAAAAGAAACATTTGTTGAGATGTGTGAGTGGAAGTATTTATCCTGGACACGTGTCAGCTGTTATGGGTCCTTCGGGAGCTGGAAAAACAACGTTTTTATCTGCTTTGACTGGAAAAGCGAGTGGATGCACTGTGAATGGATCGATTCTTATAAATGGGAGAGATGAATCGATGAATTCTTATAAGAAAATTATTGGGTTTGTTCCTCAAGATGATATTGTTCATGGTGATTTGACTGTTGAGGAGAATCTTTGGTTCAGTGCTAAGTGTAGGTATGTTGTTATTGGTGTGTGATTCTTAGTTATATAAAAAGTTGAATAGTCGATATAAATATATATAATTCACTTAATTAGGAAACACTAATAATTAGGAAAGCACTTCTGTGACAAACCAACGCATTATCAATTATTATTATTATTTTTTTTTTTAAGGTTAATCTCGTAAAAGAGTTTGTATACTGTGTTTTTTTCAAATTAACCCTCAACTTTTTTTTTTTTTTTTTTTTTTTTTCTGAAAAAGAACTTGTATTTTTTTTCCAATCCGACCATTTTCTTCATTTTCTCTAAAAAAAGTTGTAAAATGTAAGGGTATTTTAGGGAATAACTAAAAAAGTTTGACGTTTATTTGGAGACATTTAGAAGGTTGAGGTTTTTTTTTTGGAAAAAGACAAAGTTGAGGATTTTTATTGAACAAATGAAAAAAATATAAGGTCTTTTTCATGAAAAAAATAAAGATGAGGGTTAATCCAGAAAAAAACACAAAATATAACGTATATTTAATGAGATTAACCCAATAAACATGTAAAACGTGAGTTTTTTTTTTCGAAAAAACTAAAAAAGTCCGAGGGTTTTCCCGAAAACAATTAAGTTTTTGAGGGTTTTTTCGGAAAAAAAAACAAAAAGTTAAAGGGTTTTTTCTGACAAACTGAAAAAATGCAAAGTTGATTTCATTAAAAAATAAAATTGAAGTCAAACCTATAATCTAATTTGATAGCTAAAGGTCATTTCGGCAAAAAAAAAAAAAAAGTTAAGGTTTTATCAAATATTTTCTTCATAAAATAATAATATTGGTTTCATATCTAATTTGACAAAACCCAAAAACATCTACATACAAACTCCTCATGTATATATTAAATATATGCAACCATAACCAAAATTAAACTTGAATCTTTACATTTTGTCTCTGGATATCTCCAGACTTCCCGCGAATCTTTCTCGAGCCGATAAAGTTCTTGTTGTAGAAAGAGTGATCGAGTCTTTAGGTCTTCAACACATAAGAAACTCTTTAGTTGGAACAGTAGAAAAACGAGGAATATCAGGGGGACAAAGAAAGCGAGTAAACGTGGGTTTAGAAATGGTTATGGAACCTTCTCTTTTAATTCTTGATGAACCCACTTCCGGTTTAGACAGTTCTTCTTCTCAATTACTTCTTAAAGCCCTTCGTCGTGAAGCCCTTGAAGCTGTCAATGTATGCATGGTTGTACACCAACCAAGGTAACCTTCATTATTATTATCATTATTATTAAATAAGAAACTAACATGTAACACTATGTATTTCAGTTATAGCTTATTCAGGATGTTTGATGACTTAATCCTTCTAGCAAAAGGTGGACTTGTTGCATACCTTGGACCTGTAAAAAAAGTGGAAGAATATTTTTCAGGAATTGGGATCGATGTTCCAGAACGTGTAAATCCACCGGATCATTATATTGATATATTGGAAGGAATGGTCAAATGTTCGGTCAACTACAAAGAGCTTCCGGTCAAATGGATGCATCATAACGGTTACCCTATACCCCCAGACATGAGAGATTCAGATTCATCCGTATCCGGTCAGGATTCTGTTGGAGGTTCATCCACCTCAGCTGCCCACCAATCTTATGCAGCTGAATTATGGCAGGAGTTTAAGCTTTTTCTTCAAATGAAAAATGATGATTTTTTAAGTTATTTTAAAAGGAGGAAGGATTTGTCTAATCGTGTTACCCCGGGTGTATTGCGACAATATCGATATTTTCTAGGGAGGTAATTTATAAATACTTTGTCTTTTTTTAATCCGTTACACCGTTTTTGATACCAAGTACTATATTCGTTTTGTCTGAACCTTTTGCCTCGTATAGCCAAAATAAAGCATTTCTAGATAATTTATTTCTTTCGAATTAATTCCGTGTGTTTTATTTAAATATGTAGTGTGCTTTAAGATATTAAAGAGTATTTATTATCTTTTTAAATAAGTTTGAAACGTATAAATTAAGTGTAACATATAGTCTATCATAAACTAATGTCACTTTAATTTAGGGCAAAATAACAAAAGCCCATATATTTTGTTAATTTTTGTGGTTTAACCATTAATTTTGGGCAAAACACAGGAAAGCCACTATATTTCAATTTGTTCAATAAAACCCACCCAAGTTTGATGAATTTTTTTTTATATCGGCCACTTTAAACTGTCATATCAGGGTTGCAACAGAAAATTTTGTTAAAGTTAAAGGACCAAATTGTACAAATAATTTTTAACACCAAATTTGTTATTGGTTGGAGATGCTGGTGATTTCATATGCAAATTAAAATTCTACTGGCATGTGATAAAGTTTTAGCTTAAAAGTTTGTTCAATTTGCATTAAGGTATCTTTTTATTTTACATTTTTTTGGCTCATTTATTTTAAATATATATTTTTTTTCCAGGGTGGCGAAACAAAGAATACGAGAAGCTAGGCTACAAGCTGTGGATTATTTGCTTTTGTTGATAGCTGGAATTTCTTTAGGAACACTCGCTAAAGTGAGTGATGAAAACTTTGGGGCAGTTGGATATACTTACACCATCATTGCTTTTTGTAAGTTTAAAAACTCAATGTTTTTTTTTTAATAGCTTATTATAATTATAAAAAAAAAAATCTAATTTTGTATATATATATTTTTGCTGAATTTCAGCTTTACTCAGCAAGATTGCGGCTATGAGATCATTTACATTAGATAAATTACAATTCTGGAGAGAACGCTCTTCTGGAATGAGTTGCTTTGCATACTTTTTTTCAAAAGATACAATCGACCAATTCAACACAGTAATAAAGCCCGCGGTTTACCTTTGCACATTTTACTATTTTAACCCTCCAAGATCCTCCATCGTCGATAATTACATCATCTTACTTTGCTTGTTGTATTGTGTGTCTGGGTTCGCTTATGCCCTTGCCATCTACCTCGAAGCTGGTTCTGCCCAATTAGTGAGTCAAAATTACTTGTTTGCCCTTTTACCGATTGTTAGAAAATATCAGTGACATTGATTTAATAATTTTTTTTTGGGGGCTTATAGTGGTCGGTGTTGCTTCCTGTTGTGTTGACACTTATTGCGACTCAAGATGATGAGAAGGGATCGATTATACCTTTTATAAAAAAGTTTTGTTACCCTGCGTGGGCTTTGGAAGCATTCTTGGTAGCTAATGCCGAAAGGTTTGTCATCATTTTATTTTTACCCTTTTTGATTCTTTTTTTCTTTTTTTTTTTATTGTAAAAATAAAATCACAACACCCACTACAACTCTCTAGCATCATAAGGTATACAACAGTCTGCTAGCTGGTTGACATAAGAGCCAAACGGCCACATTCGAATTAGAACTCCCCTTTTTTCCATTACGTCTTAAACAATCTTAATGAGACTAAATTATTATTTTACCCTTACATTCCAACAAACTATTTTCATTCTAACAAACTATTTTATCCTTACGTTCCAATAAACCATTTTCACAATCTTGACGAGACTTAATGGCTATTTTACCTTATATTCCAACAAACCATTTTCAACTAACTATTATACCCTTTACATTCCAACAAACCATTTTCACAATCTTAATAAGGCTAAATGATTATTTTACCCTTACATTCCAACAAACCATTTTCACAATCTTAATAAGACTAAATGATTATGTTAACTTTACATTCCAACAAACCATTTTCATTCCAACAAACTATTTTACCTTTACATTCCAACACCATTTTCATTCCAACAAACTATTTTACCTTTACATTACAACAAACCATTTTTCACAATCTTAACGAGACTAAATGACTATTTTATCCTTACATTCCAAAAAACCATTTTCAAAAAAAGAAAAATAGTTAAAAGGGTTGGTGTCTAGACACACTAAGCTATATTATTTTGCTTAAACCATCAAGTCATTCTATCTAGATTAAGTTAATAAAGAAATAACGATATATAGTTGTCCACATTAAGTGCTTAACTCATTAAGTTCATTAAGTAAAAAAAAACAAATTTTATTAAATATTTTTCTTTGTGATTGCTAAATTAGGTATCGGGCAGTGTGGTTGCTGACAAGATGTGCAGCAATTGCGAAGAGAGGTTATGATCTGAGGGATTGGAAATTTTGCTTAATACGATTAATGGTGGCTGGTTTAGCTTTTCGTATTTTAGCTTTATTTTTATTAGTAGCATTCCAGAAGAAGTGAGTAAATCCAGGCTGGCAAAAATAATAAAAAAACATGAAATCATAAGAATACGGTAACCTTAAATGCAAGAATCTTGGAACAATGATCTTTGCCAGCTCGACATTTTTCAAGTTTCTCAAGAGTCATGTGATACGATGAAGCAGTGATGGATGGATAAGATCAACAAGTGATTATTGTATCTATCTGTAAATTTTAATGTGAATAGACTGTTTGTACAAAGATGGATTCATGAATAGATTGTGTATATAATGTGAAAAAAATATGGTAAGGAGTATATTACTTATATACATATAGAAGTCATTTGTGTTGTATTTATTGCAAAACTCATATCGTGTAAATGAGTTGTAAATTGTGAGTTACATGTAAATAATTTTATCAGGGCGTTCTTATAGTTTTGTTGTATAAGAACTATGGGTGTTATATAACATTTTAGTTCTATAAGTACTAGATATTAAATCAAATCAAAAGTACAAATTCAGTTTATGTACTGTTTTTTGTTCGGTTTTTGGTTCAAAAGAAAAATGGAAAATTTAAAATAAAAGGAAATTGACTTATCATGTAATATTAATATTTAGGTAATTTTTTTTGTATTTATGTATGATGTTTACATATGACCATTATTACGGGTTATAGCAAGTTACAACTTATGTGATGTATACGTGTCATATACGTGACAAAGATAAATATCCACGAGGGTAATGAAATATTGGTTTTGTTCATATCTAGGCATCGTTTTGTTCACATCTACGCAATTTCTTTTTTTTATTCACAATCGTGATGGGTTTTGATACAAAATATAAGTTTGTTTTTCATAAAAATCGCAACAGAAGACTTAAAAAAGTAAGAAGTTTATTTTTAGTTTATAACAAAATCAAACCATCAATGATCCATTTATAGATGTTAGAAGGAAATAAAAACAACCAAATAGTATTTAGATTGACAACCTTTGAAGCCTTTGAATCCACTTGGTTTTGGAGTGTTGATGAAGATAACAAAAAATCTAAGAGTATTATTATCTCTATGTGTATTCACCATTAAGAGTAAGACACTTGGAATGCTAGTTTCTTCTTGTATTCCTGAGTGTCTTAAGCATTTAAGTGCTTAACTCAAATAAGCACTAAAGGAGACAATTAAAGATGACTTTTAATCTTGAAACAATCTTCAAAAGACAACAAGAAGAGGTAGAGGAAGAGAGTTTCGGCCATAAAGAGAAAGAGGAGATTTCACTAGAAAAACTAGCCAAAAACTCATGTAAACACTCTTATATAACTGTAATGACCTTAAAATTCGAGCTAAATTAAAACATTTTAATTCATTCAAAAACCATTAAGTTCATACATTCGTTTTTCAAAATAGTTTAAACATCAGAGTGTTCCCCAGAACCATATCAAGTAAATCATAAAACATGAGGAGCGGTACGATCACGCCTTCGCCTTGCCACGATCTCCTGAAGTACCTGAAACAATACACTGAAACTCTAAGCCCGAAAGCTTAGTGAGTTACCCCAAAAATACCAACCACAATACCATACACATATCATATCATATCATAAACAGAACAGCCATGCATATCGAGTCTAGAGTGTAACTGGTCCGCCTACACCAGGCCTTCAGTCCACCCGGTCCACTCTCTCTCCGAGTCTACAATATGACTGGTCCGCCCGCACCGGACCTTTAGTCCACCTGGTCCACTCTCCGAGTCTACAGTATGACTGATCCGCCCGCACCGGCCTTCAGTCTGTCTGGTCCACTCTCCGAGCCTCGGCACGTCTGGTCCGCCCTCTTGGGGCCTTCAGCCTATCCGGACCACTCGATGGGCCTTCGGTCTAACCGGTCCGTCCTGGGTATGTTGGCCTATAGCACAAAGCAGGAGCCGCCTCAACCCAACCCCTTTCCAACAACCATGTGCACATAAACATATAATCATATAACATCTCACAACTAATCAAACTGATCCAGCATATCACATAACATAGCAACATCCTAACCAGGATACTGACCTAACCGGTCACTAGCATAACATCATCCTATATACCAGGATGCCGACCTTAACCAGGTCTCTAACATATACCATCCTAACTACCAGGATGCAGACATAGAAAAGCAATAACATAACAACAACTACCCGGATTTCCATCTGATAAAGGACTAACCTTGGTGCCTTAGACCATGTTGATATAGTGAGGATAACTCACCTGCAACTGCTGACTGAACAGATAAGATCACGTTGCTCCGATAACTGACTCGAGCTCCACTGTTGAACACCACCAATAACCAAATCCAATAAATACCACTATTACCAAAATACCCTTGGAAGTCAAACTGGTCAACCCTTGGTCAAAGTCAAAGTCCTCAGTCAAAGTCAACCTTCCTGGTTGACCCTACTCGCCGAGTCAATCTGTCGACTCGTCGAGTTCCTTTACTCAGAAACTCCCATAATACGACTTAACTCGCCGAGTCTCCCCAAGACTCGTCGAGTTCAACAATCTCAGAGTCCCATCCTGCTTAACTTACCGAGTCGTCCCTTGACTCACCGATTCGAGGCTTAACAAGAAAAGGTTAGGGTTCCACGACCAGACTCGCCGAGTCCAAGAACAGACTCATCGAGTCCAAGGCAATCTTCAACAGACTCGCCGAGTTGTTCTTCCAACTCGCCGAGTCCAAACGTGACATCTTCATTCAGACGATTTTAGGCCATATCATTGCTTCCAATACATAGATCTGGACTCCTAGGGCCAGATTCACATGTAAAGTTTCCAACTTTACGTGCATGCAAGGCTCAACAAGCTCCAACCAAGGTATAAGAAGGTTTTGGGACAAAGATACTCTAAATCAAGCCCCATGGTTGATGCTTTAAGCTTCCATGGCTCACTATTAACCTAGATCTGAAGTTGCTACTTCAGATCTAACCTATAAACCCGAAATGGATTCCAATCAAGCTAAAATTCCCAAAACAACCACCAAGAATGGATCTATAAGGAGAAAACTCAAGGTAACGACTTGTTACCTCATAAATGTGCCCAAGAAGGAGTAGATTCCAGATCTACAATGATCTCCCGATGCTAGCCTCTTGATCTTCTAACTTCCTCCTCTTAAATTCTTCTTTCAAGCTCAAACTTTAACAATGGAGGCTCATACACACTAATTAGGGTTTCTGGAACTCAAATAGGTAGTAAAGTGGCTGAGGGTGGCTATAATGTGCTTTATATAGGGCACAACTCCCGGGATTAGGGTTTTCTCCCTTTAGCACCAACTCGTCGAGTCCATCTTCCGACTCGGCGAGTTGGCCACTTAACCCGTGACAAAATCCCGCTCCAACTCGGTGAGTAAAAGGACCTACTCGTCGAGTCCCTGATTTAATTTACACTTTAGTCCCTTGAACTCTTGATTCTGACTTGGGATGTTACAATTCTCCCCCACTTAAATTAGGCTTCGTCCTCGAAGCCTGCCGCAGCACAAAATTCAAAATAATAATCCCACAATGCAACTTCGGATCTCAACTGACTCAGATTCCTCCAAACACTACTATCAAATCCCATAGAATCCAACTCTTTCTCTATAGAGTTCTGACAATTGCTCCAAGCCGGCTACCGACTTTCTCCTACTGATAACAACACTTATCAACTCAGGATCACCCAAAGGATACATTCTTATTTCCGAATTTGCTCACTCATTCGCCTCGTGCGAAACTAGATATCATTACAAACCACCGGTCCTGACCCGGTACCAATCTGTCACCCCTTGCCCAAACTAGCACTACTTCCATAGAATTGCACTGCTGGGAACTTATCCTGATTTCTTCTTGAAACGACTCTTTCTTTCCATGCTAACAAGATGATAAATCCTACAGCTCCTGAGCAACTCCTATGAGCTCCCATCTACAAACATATACACATATTGAACCTGATCCAACATCCTCGGGCTGGAAAAACCCGATACACTGACGATACCTCCAGACATCCCCAGGATGAATTACAACTACATACATAACCTCCTGATCACAACCCTAATGAAAATCCAAGACTCCATCCTTGCATCCATTCCGAACTCCTCTGGTTCTACACCACCAGAAATCCTTCCGCGACCTTAACGGACACCCAACCCGGATGTGCTTCCATACCACTGGCAGAAACACAATGTTCAATAACCATAATTGGAATACTTTTAATCATCCATCCACACTACTGTTTTCACTGCAGTGAACCAACACTCCTTCTCGGAGCTACATACCTTTCCTTTTCCTTATCCAAGGAAGCCTACTCAACAACCTTGCCATATCAACAAGTGCTACTGTGCTCACACCCCACTCTACACTATCCCTTGTAGAGTAACTGCTATTTTATGCATCACATATACTCTGAATCGGATCATAAGGACTATCGAAGTCCATACACCACCTTTCACTAACATGATCAATACTCGGGGCCAGACCTACTATTTGCTATTGCATAGCAACATACTCAGTCCATCTCCTCATATAGATCTATCAACACATACAGAGTCTTCAACATGACTGGACCGCCTTACCAGGCCTTCATCCAATCTGGACCACTCTCAGAACCTTCAGCATGTGTGGACCGCCCTCCAGGGCCTTCATCTTGTCTGGACCGTTCTCCGAGCCTTCGGCATGACTGGTACGCTTATCGGCCTTCAGTCTCCCCGGACCGCTCAAACTATCATACATCATCCCGAACTATCCTTCATGGGAATCTTTCTCGTACATATTGTCCTAGCCCTCTAGGGGTTCTGAACTCTAACTCCATTCCATCTACTCAGATCCCGGCCTAATCCTAGGCCTCACAACAACCAATCACCTTTTCCGAAACCTTGGTCTTGATGGGTTTTGGTCATAAGAACATCCTATGTGCTCATACAAACCCTAATGCTTGGATCTAGGTTTCTCTATTGTACATGCAAGTTATCCAAGACTATAAACCCTAATTCTAGCATTCAAGTAATCATATTAACATGAGAATAGGTTTAAGATCATACCTTGATTGTTATGTAGCAATAACAATCTCAATTCCTCCTTGTATTTACTTTAGAAAGCTTAGAGTCACAAATGTCACTCCTCTAATGGTTTACAAACACCAAGAGCAAGAGGATGAAGAGGAGAGAGGATGGAGGCTGCCCTAAAACGTGTGAAACCCTAGAAGGATGCTTAGCCACGTTTTTAGGTCATAAGGGATGTATATATAGTTAGGCTATTAGGGTTATCTAACAAGGAAACCCTAATTTGGATGCCTAAGCCCTAATCAACCCATAGATTCCTTTCCTTAAGGCCTTAGACGATTTCCTCATGAGGTTTCCCATAGAATTCGTCCACTCCTTAATATAAGGCAATCCATAGCCCAAATTGCAATTATCTTATAATTACAATTCCAGTCCCTTAAGTTTAATTAATCTCTTTTAAT